TGGACAGTAATACTGTAATAAAGATAGGCAATAGAACAAACACCATTCTTATCAAGCAAAGAATGACAACCACCATATTGTAAAGATATACTAGTGTTGAAACTCTTGGCAAATTTTAGTATTCGGCTACCCGAACATATTCAGACCATTCGTGTGTATTTTCAAACTTAGTTTTGATGTTTTAAGCGCATGCAAATTCGTCTATTGTACAGAGTGTGGTATGTGTAAAAGCTAATAAATAATTATATAATTATTCAAATGGATGATTTGAATTATCAGACATCCTTTTGGCAATGCTAATGTTTTAATATATTGTAATTGTCAATAATAAGATTTCAATACAGGACACTCTCACTCAATTAGAATTAAAGTTATTGAGCTCCAAAGTCTCAACCAATCAAATTGCTTACCGCTCTGTTTACCCTGAGCAAGAAATGCTTATTAGTAATGTAATGAAACTATACACCAAGTGTACCAAAGCTAGGGTGCCTCACCATAAATAAATATCTCCAAATATCTCGATAATTACACCACAATATTTAAATACATACCAAGCCTTAAATCAGTTTTGCACATTGGTAGTCACTAAATAAAAGGTCATGTTGTACTTAATAAGTTATGACCATCTAACTATCGATAAATAAGACTGCCAGGCAAGATACGCCCACTTTTTGCAAGAGATGGACAGAGAATAAGCTAAAAACAAACACGACTTTTTGTACAGTTAGGGTCAATAATCCAGAAAGTTATGGCCTAAAATGTGCAAATATCAAAAGGGACAGAGATCTTTGGGATATAAAGATATGTTTTAAGTTTCATCAAAATCGGATAAAAATTGTGACCTCTAGAGGTTCCACAACCTTCGTATTACACACTTCTAAACAATTTGCGTACAAAGAGCGGCAATTTTGTCGGGCAGTTTCATTTTGATTTTCCCGAAATACGAAATCAACCTTCAGTATGGTGGAATGGTGATGTATTTAAACGTTTTTTAAAATCGGAAAAAAATTGTGACCTCTAGAGAATCCGCAAGCTAAAAATGCGATTTTTCGAACAATCAGGGGCCATAATCCAGGAAGTTAAGTTCTGGTAAGTTGAAAGGAACCGAGATCTTTCGGTTATAAACATGCATTTCAAGTTTCATCAAAATCGGATCAAAATAGTGGCCTCTAAAGGGTCCACAACTTTGATATACCAGATGTTTACGCTATTTATTGCTCAAAATCAGATGAAAATTGTGGCCTCCTGAGAATCCGCAAGCTAAAAATGCGATTTTTCGAACAATCAGGGGCCATAATCCAGGAAGTTAAGTTTTGGTAAGCTGAAAGGAACCGAGATCTTTGGGTTATAAACATGCATTTCAAGTTTCATCAAAATCGGATCAAAATTGTGGCCTCTAGAGGGTCCACAACTTTGATATACCAGATGTTTACGCTATTTGCTCAAAACAGATGAAAATTGTGGCCTCCAGAGGGTCCACAACCCTGATACACAATATTGTGACACTATTTGCGAACGAGGGGCGACCATTTTGTCCGTCAGTTTCGGTCCGATTTTTACGAAATTCGAACTCAACCACCCTTAGGATGTAACGGTGATATATTCAAACATTTTTTTTTTTTAAATCGGATAAAAATTTTGACCTCTATGGGGTCCACAAGCTAAAAACGCGATTTTTCGTACAATCAGGGGCCATAATCCATGAAGTTACAGTCCGATACAAACCAATATTGAAAGGAACCGAGATCTTAGGGTGATAAACCTATATTCACAAACAATTGTGGACGGACGGACGGATGGACAGGGGGATGACAATATACATACACATGAAAATGTGGGCTGTGGGCGTATAAAAACATTTCCTATTTAGTATAAATTTGTACATAAAATACTACGACAACTGCCTTACATTTTATAAGCTACATCCAATAAATGTCATGTATAAAATATACAGGCATGATGTAGGTATAGTTAAAGGTTATCAAATTGCATTTATTATATAGTAGGGCTGTTATCTTACGTAGCCTCCAATACCAATTTTAGTTTGGGTCATTTTTTATTTTATATAAGAAAATTCTTTATTCATATTGTTAATCTTCATTATAAGAAAGTTTTTAACATGTGCAGTACATCTAAGAGAGGTGCTTAAACTGATTGATTAACATTCTTGATAAAATCTTAACTCACTCTAATGAAGTGTTCACAGCCAACAATTTTTTATCATAATGTGTTTCGCAAATTTATACCAGTACAAATTAAATCAGTTCAATTATCCACACATAAAAAGCTTATAATGTAACAAAGGTAAAATCAAGTAGTAGGTCTGAAAGTGGGATATAGATTGTTTTCTTTTTCATTCATACTAAAAGGGCATAGTTTGATTAATTTAGGCGGAAAAGTTCAAGTTGTGTGCATGATGTACTATAATTGCACTATTTTATATTGAGAAAGTGCTGGTGTACTTCCATTCTTGTATGTCCTGATCAAGATTACCATATAGGTTAGTCCACAATAATAATGTCAATGTAAATATAGACCCTTCCATTTAGTCAATACCAATTACCCCTTTTAGTTTCAGATGATACAACATGAAACAGCCCAACAAAAGCTAGCTTTATATAGAAATCTATCAGCAAATGGACCAGTCCATTTTCAATAAGGTAAATAAGGTGTTAATTATGCATTTGCAAAGTACAGTTTCGACATTTGAAATCCATTGAGTTGTTAAAACAAGAAATAACAGACATAAAAACTGAAAATGATGGTTCTTTATGCATATACGCCAATAAATTATAAATTATTTGACCAAATATAATCCACCCTGCACATTGGTATGATCCATTGATAAAAGATGTCTGCTTTAACTGGAGGCTATATTTAAATAAGATACATTGAAAAATCAGTTAAGAGGAAAAATATTCGGTCAGAGGAACCCCCTGTTTGATAGTATGGTGTCACTTTAACCACTTCTGACCTAAATGTATTCCTGAGCAATCAGGTTAACCTTCGGACACACAGTACATTTCGGTCTGACATTTAAACATGGCCGTTACACAATCTTATATTGGGCTAGGCTAAAATCAATAGGCTATCTTATTTGCATAAACCTCCACAAGTCAATTTTCACACTTAATCACTGACTTGTTTTGTATTTCCTGATAGTAACTGATGCTCGTTAAAAGGTAATAAATCAAATCTATACATATATAATTCTTCTTATAAGGGGTGACTTTTTTAAGCTCAAAATATCTGTTTTCCTATTTTTAATTAATAGCAGAATTTCATTGGTTTAGACATATCTTCTTGTATTACATACAGTGGAGATGAAAATATTATAAGTTAGTATAAAGATAGGTTGCCAGGCAGCGGAATATACGCCCACAGCAGCTTAATCGTCCAAGCAGTCGACAAGGGTTGTCGCATATTCATTCTTTTGAAGGTTATGGGCATTTTTACATGACACTGATATCAATTTCATACAGATCGAATGATAACTTTTGTCGTTAAGAGTGTTCACAAGGTGTTGAACAAAGGGAAACAAACCCATAACTCTAGAAGCAATGAATGGAAATTGCTGAAATTCAATAGGGTTCTACGTTTTACTATTGCTAATCTAAATAATGCATAAACATTAATACAGATTGGATAACTTTTGTGATTAAAGCACTCACAAGGTTCAAAGTGAAACAATAGGATTCTTCCATTTACTAATCTAAATAATGCATATACATTTAATACACAGCGAATGATCACTTTTGTCATCAGAGCGTTCACAAGGACCATAACTCGAGATGTTATTAATGGATTTTGCTGAAATTCAATACAATACAACCACATTCTTATGTGCACTAGATTCTTCTGTGGGTGTACAGAGAGAGAGAGAGAGAGAGAGAGAGAGAGAGAGAGAGAGAGAGAGAGAAATGGGGTTTAACGTCCACTCGACACAAACTAGGTCATTTCGGGACTAACATATGGTTTAATTTTATTTCAATAATTCGCTTGCGCGTAGGGGTCTTTAGCAGTGGGAGGAAACCGGAGGACCCGGAGAAAACCCACGAGGTTGGACAGGCGAGAGAGAGAGAGAGAGAGAGAGAGAGAGAGAGAGAGAGAGATGGGTGATTCATGTCCACTCAACACTTACATGGAATTTTGGGACTAACATGATTCAATTTTATTTCAATAATATGCTTGCACTTAGACATGTGATCCTATTCCTTGTCACGTATAAGCAGGGAATCGAAACCACACCACTTGACTAAATGACAGACCTTATGATCTAAAGCTCATGGATTAACCAACTCGACAATCCAACCTCTCAGTGGGTGTGGGGGGGTTGGATGGCAACTGGCGGGGTTTCGATTCCCTGCTTGTACGCGACAAGGAGTAGGGTCGTCTGTCCAACCATGTGGGTTTTCTCCAGGTCCTCCGGTTTCCTCCCACTGCAAGCAAATTATTGAAATAAAATTGAACCATGTGTCAGTGCCAAAATGACCTGAGTGGACGTTAAGCCCCATTACTCTCTCTCTCTCTCAAGTGGGTGTAGGGCAGGAGAGTGTAGCATATACATGGCATACCAGTCAAACTTGCTAAACTGTTTAAACAGAGGTAGTCGTAGGTTTAGTTATGCACGTGTTTACCTTACTTGAAACTGTAAATTTCCACACAAGTAATGAAGAGAGAGAGAGAGAGAGAGAGAGAGAGAGAGAGTGAAATGGACTTTTAACTCCACTACACAGACAAGGTCATTTCGGGACTAAAGTAATGAAGAATGCATGCCCTAAGTGAGAGGAAGTTTCCAATTTTAAGGCGACTTGTACACCTTCTTGATGATAGGTAGTGAGTTGGGGTTATAAAGTGTTTCTTTATTTGGCCCACCTTTGCATTTAGATGACAAACTTTACCTGGCTTAACAATTGGTAATTGGGTTTATTTAAAAATCGGCTTAAGGATTTGCATGGCATATTAGAGATTTGTGTACTAAATGCTAAATTCAAACTTACCAATGACGGACTATCTCGAAACTGATATGTAAAATCCATCTGTTGGCCAGATGGACCAGTTGCTATTGCTAATGGTAATATATGATCTGCTGGTATGACATGACCTAAATGCAAAACAATATGATATATATTGTCATTATAATAATAGATTGCTCAGACTTATTTTTTTTTGTTTCCATATTTTTGGGAAAGGGTGATGGATGTTTTTTCTTGATGCCTTTCAAAGCAGATCTGCTGATTTTGTTATTCAAATGAAATCAACAAATTCATAAAATAACATTCTTACCACAGGAATAAAGAGCAACTCTTGAAGGACTAACACCAGCAGAATGGAATAACTGATCTGTAAATTCTGATATCTACAAAATAAAAAAAAAATAACAAGTATTATTAACAAGCCAATCCCATAATAAACTTTCTACTTACATGCACATTTATCTGCTTATCACTCAGCTTAACCGGAGCACAAGATGATCATTATAGAACTTAGAAAAATTATACACCAAGTTTCATCACTTTCATCCAATTAGAATCCAAGTTATTGTGCTCCAAAGCATTGACACATCAAATGGCTTATCTCTGTTAAGTCCAAGCAGAAAATGTTCATCATTGAACTCTGTCAAGACATTCACCTAATGAGCATTCAAGTCCCTACCAATAAAATTTCTGATCTCCACTTAACCTAGGCAGAAAATTTATGCAAAGTATTGATGTAATGAAACTGTATACTAAGTTTCACCAATTTCTTTTAATTAGAATGAAAGCTATGTTCCAAATTGCTTATAACTCTGCTTAACATGAGTAGAAAGGCGCAATACAGAACTATACATTATGTTTGATCACTCTCCCTCAATTAGAATCAGTTATCAAGTCTCAAAGCATGAACAAATCAAATTGCTTATCTCTGCTTAACCTAACCAGGAAATGCTCACCATCAAACTCCTTGAAGACATAATATCTACACCAAGGGTGAGCATTCTACCTTAATTAGAAGTAGAGTTATTGTGATCCAAAAGGTGTGACAGACTAACCCATTTTAATAATCCACCACTGCTTTATCTGAAAGACGGGGGACAAATAGCCAGCACATCTATGCTTATATTCTTTTATTGCAAATTAAAGGATTAGTTCATTCAACCTACAGTCTCTAATATTTTAACATTCAATGGTGTAACCAGAAAAATAGTTCAAGTTCATACAAATGTAGTATAAGGGGAGACAACTCTATATTCTATAGCAAAAACAAATTTAGGAAAAGATGTGTATTGCATAAACCCTTCACATATCAAATTTTATATCTATGCCTCATTTTCAAAATATAAATATTAAAAGCAATGCCATACTTACAGGCTGCATAGTTCCACCAGCTACTATAATGGAGCGAGCTTGTTGAACAATACTACTAAAATGAACAGCTGGATTTAAGAGCAGAAACTTGAGACTAGACTGACTTAACAATCCTACAAATGAAAACAGAAATTTCAAATATTTATTCATTATTCAGTTTTCATATGAATGCTATATGGACAGTTTTCTTTTCTTTGGTCTTTATAAATGAGGATAAACTTAAACTGACTTAAAATACAGATGTGACGTCCTCCTTCGAAATTTGTGTACCATAGCACCGTGTCAAGCGTACATTATTTATACTAGTTGAACTAATGGACCCATGTGACGTATTGCATTGACATGCACGTGCAATATCAATATATTACTTAATGGCTCGCCCTCGACCATCAAACTACACTTATAGCTATCAGGAAGCGGTAACCAACTCTTCATCTATCTATTCAAGATTTTAAAAGTCCATTTATTCATGAATGATAATTATCCTGCAAATTACACACGTATTAATGAGAAAGAAATGACTGAAATTATACTCCATGGCCAACTCAATATATTTCTAACATAAATTCACTCTATTCTTTGAAAAACCTACCTTGTTTATTTACAACTATTCTACCATCTTTATCGCAGTTTGTTAATGCTTCAAGGAAACTTTCAATATGCATTAGTGGAGAGCTCATATTATCAAAACTATGTGTCACGGAAACAGGTTTATCTAAAAAAAAAGAAACTAACAAGTTAACAGTTAGACTCAATACCCTAATAATTAATAGCACATTTATCTATATAATAAAGCATCAAGCAATCAAATTGTTTATCATGCTGCTTAACTGAAGTTATATTTATTCTTGTAATGAAACTATACATCAAGTTTCATCACTCCCACTCTATTAGAAGCAGAGTTATTATGTTTTTAAGTGTTGGTAAACCAAATTGCTGATCTCTGCTCATGTTTTACGAACCCAGTGAAGAAATTCACTTAACAAACATCTACACCAATTTGGAACATTCTACCTTAAATAGAAGGAGAGTTATTGTGTTCAAAATGGTGTGAGGAGACAGACAGGTGCTAAGACTACACAGAAAACACTAATCACTGAATCCTGTCAAGACAATCGTCTAACGGACATCCACACCAGATCTGATCATTCTACTTTAATTAGATGCAGAATATTTGTGTCCAATAATCACAACCAATGAGATTAATGCTCATAACTGAATCCAGTCAAGACATTCACATAATGAACAATTAGGAGCAGAGTTATTGTGTCCCCACAAAAAATGACATTGGTTTAATGTCCCTTCACTCAGCACCAACCACGGCCAATGAAAACAGGCACTGCGTACACAGAATCTATTTTTTCTTTCATACCATCTGAATAAACACATTTATTAACAAGATTGCATAACCATAGTTCTAGAACTTCTAAAGAAAATACCATGCTGAATATATATTAAAGTTGATAAAGTACAGTACTTCTATATGTAGATAAATAATATCTGTGACTGTCGTTTGTCTGGGGTTGACAGCTACACTAGGGCATTGTAATGTACTACTACTTCCGGTTCAGAACTGTTCCTGTTCCAACTTCCAATGCATTGTGAACAAGTCCTTCTACGGTTAGGACTTTTGTTATTTGAATAACTGTAGCTATTAACTGGTTAGTATCCATTTGGTACTAATTTTCAACATAAAACAACCCTGTTAGAAGGTGCGAGTCATTGAGTCATTACTCGCGCGCATGCTATACTGCCTAAAAGGCATTACACGCTTAAAAATTTCGAGAAACTTTCCATAGAAATGTACATTTCTTTCATGAAAATTTAAACTATCGAAGGTTATTTGATTACCTGGTTAACTTGGTTCATTTGAACCATTTTTTAATTTAATATCTACGATAATATACAAGACAATACTCTGTTTACCATCGTACGTGACATATGACAATACTATTACGATTACACAATGTTACTAAGAATGAAGTAAATTGGAAGGCGTCTATTGATTGGGCAAAAAAGAAATAATTTCGGGGTTGCAAGTAGAATTTCATGATTGGTTAATTTAACTAAAAACCAAAGTAGAATTCTCGGGAGAAATTACGAGATATGAAATGTGTAGAATGTCGTAACAAATCTATTATGATGTCATTTTCTAACCTTTATGATTATATTTTGAATGGTGGTTGCATTTTTAAATAAATATTAAACAACCTAGAATATAGTTAGAAATGCCGAGAAGTATTTGGATTGGATTAACAGTAACAAAAGTCAGAACAAGGTCCGTTGAGTTTGCCGTACGACTACGAGTGCTATTAATAGTATTATTTTTTAGCAGTTGACTTCATAGGGCGACAGTTACATTCTAAGATTTTCAAACATCAAATACAAAACGACAACGGACAATGGCCAACTTTTGTTATAACGAGGAATATAATGGAGACAACTCTATGTAATGCTGGATATCTCCAAATAACCGTAGCGTTCAATTCTAACTATTTAACCGCCCAATAGGAGCACTATTAGCTAACTATATATAAGCTTATTAATATGGTGGTCCACAGTGGCTTACCTGTTCATTCGGTACACGTGTTTACCTCGAGAGCTAAATGACATTGATCAGATTTACTATATAATGAATTACACGGTTTATGAGATATGCTCAAAATAATAATTGTATACTGGTACCAATAACTAAGTAAAATTTGTTTCCTGGAAATACAAATATTATTCTAATGAGAAGGGTTGATATACCTTGAATGGTTTTATAAGATATGCTCTCGAACAAAAACTGTGTAATGCAGGAAGAAGGCATTGCAACCATCAATCATATTGAAAATGTAATGCTGGTTCTTTTTATAAAATACAGTGAGTAGGACATTGGCTAGCTAGTCTGGAGGTCCCGTGTTGGATCCCTTCGTTGGCTGAGAAAGTTCAACAGGATTTTCCAGCCTGCCAAGAAACAACGTATTGTCGCTTAGATGGCGTGCACGTAAAATATCCCTTGGCAGTTAGAATTCGATGTGAGAGTAGGCTCTAGCGTAGCTGTCCGGGCCAAATATCTCCCACAGCACACTGTATGGCATATGCCCGTCTTCATTAGCCCAGTCAGAGTAGCACAAGAGGACATTAAACCTGATTCCTTTTCATTTCAATAAATTACCTGAAATAACACTATCCACGCCATATTCTGTTTTCTGATTTATTTCATTGAGAAATTTTTTCACTCCTGATAGATTTGACTCTTTTTTAACTGCTGCTGTAAAACAATTCAAACAAGATACTATTATTCACATGGCCCAACAGTATTCAACATGTAATTATGTCTAGAGATAAAAAAATTTACAAGCACTTTAAAATTCAAAATTTTTAGAATATATTTAGTTTACTTACTGCTATGAACTTCAGTGTCTGCATATTTTTCTATGAAACCATGAAGCTAAAGAATATTAAAGTAATAAAAAGATTTGTATCTCATTTCTACTAAATTTACATACTTCTGTATCTAGTTCAATATCTTAAATATCACATACAGTTTTAAATACATTATCCAAAGTAAGATCATACAAAATAAACTGTAACACTTGGACTACCATTAAAAATGATACATCAAGGGCTTCAAGGCTGAAAAAACAGTAGCTAATGACATAAAAAAATTCTTTCTATTTCCAAGTCTTCGTTACAAAGAAATTTTATGTTTAAGGGAAAAGATTGGGAATTTTACTCTTTTTCATTTGAATTTCCAGGGGATAGCGCGAACGCAGTCCCCCACACTAAGAAATTACGTACTCGAGTCGCCCACATTTGGGGCGATCGCAGGGGTCAGCCAAACCGTGGTGCAATGGAAAGGCCTCACCCTGGGAGGACCGCCTTGCGGATCACGGTGCCTCCCGTACCAGGTAAGTATGCTTGACAATGATCACTTGGGGGTTTATATACTCCTTACTCATATCTTAAGGTGAGATCATGTGACTAAACTATGGACATTTATACATTAACTTAAATAAGAACAGACCATTACATTTACACATTTAGTTTATACAGGGTACAGATACAATTGATGCAGATATTGACAAAACTGTCTGAAGACAAAAATCTTGAATTTAAATAAAAATATCTATAAAATTAACCCCAAAAATGCAATTTTAGCCATGGGAGATAATTTTCATTCTATGTCGAAAAGGACTGGTTGTCCTTTCTTTATCTCCTTCAGTAATATAATCAATACAATAGTAGCATACCTTTTTGCTTATTTGACTTCTTTCACAGTATCTTAGAACTTTAAATAAATTCAGGTTATCAAGTTGAGAGATGAATAGAAAGTTATTTATTGTCTTTAGCTGTATTTCTACAAGGTAAAAGGGTCATTCAACCTATAAACTTAAGCTGTAAACAGTAGCTCGCTTATTTGACCTACATTTAGTTATCAACCTACACACTGACATACAGTAGTCTTACTAGTCTAACAGTGTTGTGCTGACCTACATTTGAACTTCCATGTTATACATGTTTAAGATAGGTCATTACTTCTCAATAAACAGTAATTGTTATAAAATAATTTGTAGCCAGCTACACCTAAACAATCATAATTCAAGAAGTAGACTGTTATATTAGTTACAATTTTGATGTTAAAACTTGTAACTTGACAAAATTTTCATTCATACCCGGCTTAGTGACACTTTGTTTTTCAGAACATTCATCTACCTTACCTGAAATAATTATAAATTCTCATCAAGTCATACAAAATGTTTATTAACCATATACATAGAAAGTCAGACCATCTAAAAAGATCAATATAGACCCTATCAAGTCCAAAAGCAGTAGATGGGTTGTCATGTTTAATGTGTTGTTTTTTCTACAAATGACAGTTTTAGGTGCCAGTTATATTATAATAACTACTTGTATGGGAGCCAGTTATCATAATAACTACTTGTTTGTTTTTTTAAACAAAAAAATCTTCATCCATAAAACTTTAAAATCTATTTGTTGCTACTATGAAAGAATATTTTAAATATCCATAATGAAAACAAAATATAAATTGTAGTTTTTATATGTATATTAAATAGAATCAACAAGCCAACAGTGAGGTTGCCCGCCAAAATCCCAAATTAAACAGTATCGAGTAATCAAACTGATTATCTATGCTTAGTCTAAGCATAAAATTTTCACTATCAAACTCAGGTTTTGATGTACCTGGTAGTGAGTGAAACTATACAATAAGTTTGATCACTCTCCATCAGTAAGAATGAAAGTTATCTTGTCCCAAAGCATTAACCAAAAAAATTGCTTAGCTCTGCTTAGCTTTAATGGGAAATTTTAATCATTGAACTCAGTCAAGATATTCACTTAATGAACATCTACACCTCAATTAACAGCAGAGTTGTTATGTTCAAAAGTCTTGACCAATCAAATTGCTTATTGCTACTTTGCCCAAGCAGAAAATTCTTGTCATCGAACTTAGTCAATGTATTGATAAAATGAATCTATACTCAGAGTTTCATCATCGCTCTCACCCAATAGAACCAAAGTTATTGTGTTCCAAAGTCTCAACCAATCATATTGCTTATCTCTGCTTAGCCTTAGTGGAAAATGTGCATAAACGAACAATGTCAAGACGTAATAGACACCTACACCAATTTTGAACATTCTACCTCAATTAGAATGGAAGTTAGTGTGTTCCAAAGACTAACTCAATTAGAAGGATAGTTAGTGTGTTCCAAAGTCTCGACCAATCAGATTGAAGTCTCTACTTCAGCATCGAACCTTGTTAAGGTAATGATGTAATAAAACTATACACAAAGTTTCACCATCACTCTATTAGAATCAAAGTTGTCCAGCTCCAAAGTCTCGACCAATCAA